CCACTCATGCAACATTCACACCTAAGCGTAGTGACCGATTTATCGATCTACCCGGCTGATCGAGGTCATTTAGAGCTGGGTTCATTCACACTCGTCTTAAGCTCGCTCGATCAACTGTTATGGACAACGTTCTCGATCGGGGTGGGGGGGAGGGAACGAACAGTCAAACGCCACACCATCGAAACTTTCATCCTAGCTTGGTAACTCATTCAAAAAGCACTTTTGTTTGTCTACAGAGAAGTCACTTCCTTCCCAAATGGACGGGGTTTTGGATAAACCTGGTCCAATCGGTGACGAGTGACGGAGAAAGAACCAATCACATTCTGGGTTTCCTGGTAGAATGCGATTCGTTGAATTCACTTACAACACATTCGCTTCAAGTGGAAAAGATAACATGTATTCATTCGAAGACAGTGTGGGTGATAGGCATGGGGTTAGGTAGGAATCGGTACTCGGGATACGAACCAACTTGAGAAATCCCCATTTTGTAGACCTCCGTTTATTTTGTCCACTCTGTCAAAGCTAAAATGCTATCGAGAAAGGTTAGCTACGAACAGAAACAAGGCGAGCAAGGCACATCGTCTTGGATGTGGTACTTACCAGTGGGGTGATTTAAAACACGCAGATACACGCATGTATACACATAAAAAACACCTTTGAAAGTTAACTGAAAATTCGGTCATCTGCCTACTCTGCAAGCGGCCCTCGCTTATTTTCGGNGAGGACAGTCTAACGTTGATTTCTGTAGCCACATCGGACGTGGTGACTGTTTGTCTCCATTGGCACACATTTGTATCCACCGAATAATAATTTGTGCAAGCATCTAAGTACTTATAATCCACCGACCAGTAGCAAGGCCCAGATGATGAGCAATGAGAAACAAACCTTGGGAATCCTAATGAAGGGGGGGTCGTGACAATGCCCACATACTCCACAGNNNTGCTACTGAAGAAAAAATCGTTCCGTGGAAATTCGTTTGGCTATTGTCTGCGGTGACGAAATAGACTGCTGATCTCAGAGTCAGTGGAACATTCAAGAAAGAAAACGGGTAGAGGAATGATAAAAACTGCATTTAGTTTTTATGTGTTCCGTCACTATTTTGAAACCATTTCTGTTTTGGATTCGGCAAACACAACTGTTTTATTGACCAATTCGCTGCTGCGATATGATCATATCGTGCAAATCGGTGGACCATACTTTATTTTAAGCTATGAGTGGTTCATCGCATTTTAACTGCAACAAAATATTCTTTTTAAATAAATATATACTTAATTAATATTTTGTTGGGCAATCGCGAATCCACTGTGTTCTGCTTGCGATAATTAGCGCATGAGTTGGGCCATAACATTAACCGAATTCTTTTCTTTCTCACTGTTTCCTAAAGTGAACCACGATCAGGACACATTCATTCGTTGTGCAAACGATGGCCTGTTCTATCTGAATGCGACCACTTGGGAACCGGGCTGTGCATGTCCACCGGGGTTCACGGGATCACTGTGTGAACAAATCGGTTCGGAAATTTCGTACATTTGTGAACAGATGGGGCTTTGCAAACCGTTTGGGGTGAGAGGAATATTGAATTTGAAATTGTCGTTGATGAGTCCGTGCAAATGAATTCTTTTTACAGCTTCTCAGACAAACCACACAACGTTTCTTCATTTTATTCGAATAAACGTACACAGCATTACTCAAAATAGTGCAGTCTACCTTGATTTCCTTTATCTGGACGCAGCATAACTGAGAAGAGTAGTTCAAACATGAACACGAGGATGCAGTGTTTCTTATGGTAACTGGTGCCCTAAAACCGGGAACAAGAAGAGGAGTGCCACCAAGACTCCAATGTGCAGTGCTATGGAATAAAACAAAAAATCTGAGCTGTGAACACCAGAACAAGGATGAACTTCGACTGCAGTTCTTATTGCAGAAACCGTGCGATCGACGGATGTGTTCGCAAGTCACGGTAATTCAGTGACACGCCTCAATATCGAATTTAGTCACTTCCATCGTATCCTTTCGCCGGTTCTCTCCCTTACCCACCGTAAAAACTCAATTTTTATCTATGCAGTAAATGGAAGTAAAACAAATGGTAATATACAGGATGATGAAGTTTTGCACATACTAATTTGAGAGCTGTCATATTCGCAACCGAAAGGAGAAATATCGGACACTCGTAGCTGATGACCTTAAACAGACGTCAAACCAGTCGCCTTCGTTTAAGACTCCTCATTCAGATATTACTTCCTGGTAAGTTTCCTTAGTTCTCTGAAAGTGAAAATAACGACGGGGTGAGGGAGAATAGCATTATCTGTGAATTTAACTGCCACAGCAATCCATTTTGTTGTTTTATAAATCAGTTTAGTTCCTTTTGATTTCTTTATGTCAAATCAAAGGATGGAGTTTGTGCAAATTGCTAAACCAATAAATGGAGCGGAGGCAAAACAAAATATTGCCTCATATTCATCTACTGTCGTATAAAAGTAGTCATCGTTACTTTGGATTACTTGATCAGTTCTTGATGATTTTGTAATTCACTATATGCTGCACTATTTTGGTGCTCCCCCCTCTTCAAGACAGCAGTGTGGGGACTGACCAAAATCGTTCGCTTTTAGGAGGGACGCTCCGAAAACAGCACAACCATGGTCTACCAAGTTGTCAGTATGCATCGTACTCCCAAGTATCTCTTTGGAGTGGTTTGATTCATATCTGATTTGACAGAAAGCACGAAGAAAACATGTACACTATTTTTCATCATCAAGTCAAAACCAGCAAAACTTTAGCCACTATAGTTCTTTAGACTCAACACACAAGCTCAGTCATGCCGCACTAAGCGACTCGGATCGAAAAGTATCGGAATATCCTGAGGTCATGAAATGTCGAATAATTGCTTTTCCTACAAATGGTGACGTTAGAATGCTTGGTTGAGAAGTGACCAGGTGTTCTCACCATGTGCTCCGCAGTTGACCGCCGTAACTGTATCGAATGTTGCACCGCATATTGATTGGCGAATGATTCAACGATGTACCTGCATCACCAATAGATTTGACACATCTCGCATTGATTCAGTGTCTTTAGTGAACTAGTTTTTAATGTGGTAAATAATCTTAATGCCGAGGCGTTTGACAACTTCTTTCAAATTATCACTTCCCTATGTATATTCAGTTACTCTCCATCGATCATCCGCGCTGGTAAATCGATAGGCCCCTTATCCTTTCATCTCATTTATTGTTTTCCATATCGTACAGGCATACAACGGTAGACAAGGTACGATGGACACGTTGTATGTTTTACATAGCCCCTATACTGACAAATCGAATGCCACATTACTGTAATAAGGAGGAAAAATAACAAAAGTGCGCTACTTCTGTGGGGGCAAAAATTTTAAATGTGACACACGGTATAGGTTTTAGCATTTACAGGCCTGGATATAAATCACAGTGAACTCCGTTTTAGATAAGTAGACACAATAATAGCCCGAGGATAGGAAACATCGGTCATGGCAACGCCTCCTATTAATATAACCAGTTTATTCACTCTACATCATTTGAGACAATTACGACGGTCAGCTGTTCAACATACAATCACCACACCTTTTGCTTTCTTAACCAAGCTTTCTAACGTCATTTATAGTGTTACAACATTCGGTGACCTTAGAATGTTCCGGTACTTTTGAGCTAATTCACCTATGGCGGTATTACCAAACATTTGGGTCGAAACAGAAGGGCTACGGGTTGTGGCTAAAGAAATGAGGGTGTTGGCTAAAAATTGATGAAAAAAGTGTAGTTCTTCTATTTCGGCTTATGCCCGAATAACAGAATCTGGTGCAAATTTTCGCAATATTAGTAGAGCTTCAAGTTAATACCTCGTAGCCATCACTTCGCATTCAAGCACATTTTCTTCGTCGTTATCACTTGCTGAGACCCGTGTCTGCATTTCCCCGACAAGTGATGTCTTCCGAGGACATCAGTTGACTTTAAAGACTTCAAAGAATGTGGTCGCGATTACTTTTTGGTTCGATTTCCACTCGTTTTGACTGTCACACAAAACTGGTCAACCTGGATTGATCAAATTTGACATTTTTCCATCCATCACAGCAGGATAGACTACGAGCTGTCTTTACCACAGGACCGTTTGTCACTTTTGATTGGTATGTAGGTTCTTAAAAGCCTGGATGGCTGTGTTCGTTCAAACGGTGGTCCTAATGGTAAAAATAGTCGGGACAAGAACAATGTGTTCGCTCGGAGAGGGGTAACTGCTTTGTATCATTCCTATATCGTTCCAAAATGGCAAGTTCATTTGAAGAAATTAGAACCAAAGCATGATTTGATACTTGGTTCTGATTAAAGCCTTAATAGAAACAGTTGTATTTCGTTAAAAACTTCATGTTCGTCGCTGATTGGTTGGATGGTCAAAGCTTTTCAATATAGTACGTCTTCTTAGAGTGATAACCATGTTCTTACTTGCCTTAGCCGACTGACCAACGTCGGTGTTCTAAAGACGATGCACCGCATTGCTAAACCACAATCTTTATGAACTATAGTCACATGAATGAGCGTTTGGGATCAAATTACGGCGGGATCGTATGAAGGGCGTGCAAGTAGTCTGTTTTCTGGACCCTGTGGGACTGATGACTGACTTGATACCCATACGTTGGTTTGCTCATGACGGTTGGTGAATGACGGTTGCTATCTTAAACGATTGTCATCAATAGTTTTTACCACAGTAAACCAAGCGACGGTCCTATTCACCGTGGTGTCATACACTGAGGCGTTTCTTATGATCTGTTCTACAAATATTTGCTCAAATATGACTGGATATTGTTTGCACCGGTTATAGTTCTAGCACTGAGAAGGACGGTGTGGAAATGGTATCAGTCATACAACCCTAGATGTACCATTTACCATATTTACTCCAATTTACCGGGAGAATATCACACAAAGTGCCATGGCCTCATTTAAAAGACAACCAATGGACAAACATATTCACTCAGTCGCATCACAGATCGATTTAGAGGCTCTCTGCATAGATCGTATGACGACCACAGGCCAAGTATGCAATTGGTCAATCATTTTATAAAACCCGAGCGAAGCGAATCAACAGTCATTGCCGATACCCTGATGGATCGGATGACGAGATGAAATGAACCAAACTGACCATCACTACTCAGGATTGAAAATAGGCAATTTAGTTGTGCAACCGTATAGAACACATTTGAATTTCGCTTGAAACCTTAATCGGCAAACCCACGACATTTAAAATGACTGTATTTATACTTTTTCTCACATACTTCATTTTCAGCCACTGATTTTTGGCGGTGCTATTACAACAGTTTTGTGCACTTCTGTTCTCCTCACTCACGGGATACTTCGGTATTTGTCCGGATTATGCAGACCACCTTTGCAATCCTCGGTCATATTCGCAGATAGTCGTCTCGAACTGTCCACCTCTTCGAGTCCACGTTACAATATAGGACGTTTCGGTCGTTCTGCCACACTTGTGGGTCAAGCTACCATGACATCAGTCACATGCCAACAGGCGATTCGTCGTCGACGTCGTCATCTACTTCGACAATGGATGGCTTTGAATAGACTTTCACGAGCCGATTTGAATGATCTGTTTCGATCAATCAGCTTGGAAGCATTGCGCTCCAGCCAGTCATCTAGACAAAACTCAGCCAGTGTATCTTCGTCCTATGACAATCATTCGCTCAACTGGTCAGTGGAACGACCTAGCCGTTGTGGATGTGGTGGTTTGCAACAAAATGAACCAAGGTAGGTATTATATTAATGGGAGAGAATGGATTTCAGCCGGTTATTTATATCCGATTTCGTGTAGTTTTCGCTGTCCTTGTGCTGTGCTCTCACAGTCACTGGCATATTGTAGTTCTTGAAACAATGGTTTTCCCGAAATGAGTTTAAAAAAGGCTAGTAGTGTTATGCAAGATGTCTGCTGTAGCGGCATTTCTTTCGCATATCATCAGTTATTCCATGCAAATTAAAACTGGACATTATATATGTTCATGGGGTATGGTGACAAATAGATTTAAAGGCGAGATTCATACTTGTTCACGAGACAGTTTAACACTTTTTTCTCCTAATTGGAATACAGATGAGTGGAAAATTGCTCGCAAATGGGTGAGAATGACGTATTAATGTGTGCGCGTGTGTGTGTTTCAGTAGTTAGAAGGCGGAGAGGGAAAGTTGGGACACGTGGACGTGCGAAGACACAAAGTTAATAGGCCGATTAAATAATACTGACGATTATGAAGAACCAAAGTTGGAATTCATTATCCGAATGGAGGTGTGAAATGGGGGAGGTGTAATTGGTTTATGTGGGTGGATGGTTTGGGTGATTTTTACAGTTACACTGTTTCGTGAACAAGTATGAATCTCGCCTTTAAATCTATTTGTCACCATACCCCATGAGCATATATAATGTCTAGTTTTAATTCCCATGGAATAACTGATGATATGCGAAAGAAATGTCGCTGCAGCAGATATCTTACATAACACACTGTAGTTCAACCAGTCTCTGGAAGAGGAGGAGGATGGCAAAGTTACTTCTTTTTGATGAATCCTTTTTAAATCCCGGAATGTTTATTTTCACATTAATGTCACAAACCTAAGTGAATCAAACTGTGACAAATGCGGATTTACAGATGCGCACATGGATGAAATGCACATTGAAGAGTTAACTACTCATAAGTAGACTATGTCTGTTGACAACCATTTATGGAGGATTGTTCATTGAGTGCCAACCGAATGAGAGCAAAGTTTTCATCGATTTTAAAAGATAAAAAACGAGAAAATTATTCTCCTGAAGGTGTTATTCTGATCACAAAGATATAAATTCCAAAGTAACCACTAAACTGTGACTTATTTATACCGATTTGGACTGATTATCCTTCAGAATGAATATGCACATTCAGTCTTCAGTCGATCTAGCGAACTATACACTCGGGAAGCACTAAACGTAGGTTTAGCCCTAACTGGGGCCCATCAACAATGCACATTTATCGGGAGTGGAAATCGGGACATGGAATGCACGTGCGTGTAAACGCCAACGAACTCACAGCCGGGGAGGGCCAATTCATGTTTTTTTTTCATGTCGTCTTCAATGATGGTCAGTTGACCCAAAATCAACGAAATAAGACATGATTGATTCTCCGTTACCTCCAAATCAATATAATATATATCCCCTCCACTGCTAGCAGGCATTCTTGAATTAAATAAAACCTATTTATACATCTTAGAGCGAAAACGAACGAGTCGAAGCAGTTAACGCAACATGTGATATAATGTGATATAACGGATCAAACGAAAAATATTTTTCATAATTGTAATGAAAAATTGATAAATTCAACAAATATTTGAGTTGATTATTCTGTTATTAATTGTACTGAATTAGGAAGATTGGTGAACTCACACTTAACTGTGTTCCATTTTAAGCTAAATGAAACACCAATTCCGGGACACTTTGGGTGTATTCCTTTAGGTGAATAATATAACGGATTCAGTAGCACTGAAAGATAACTTTGCTAGTCGTGTTACTGAACACAGGCTTCAGTTAGCCAGTATAATAACCTATTACGCTGATGGACCAATTAGACTGTACACCCCGAGTAGATCAACCGATTCTGGTAGATGCCAAATCACTTCATATGTGGGTATTCGTTCCCTAAAATTAGTAGAACGCAGGGACATCTTCAACTGAGACTGACAGGATATATATGTTCCTATATAAGTGGAGAAAAACAAGAACAGGTTGGCATTTTTTTCTCTGCCTTGTTTTTGGAAATTGGACAACTGTTTACATTTTTTGCAGTGGATACACTTGACTCCACACGTTTGCATCAATTTTTGAAGGTCAAATACTGACCTACAATTCCTACATCATGAAATCCCTCTACGTTTTCGCGAACAACGTCGGAATTTCAGCGTTTGCTCATTCCTTGAGGAATCGTTATGAACGGTTATGAATTAAACGTCAAGGTCACCATATTAATTAAGCATCGCGTTGGCTGGCGGTTGGAGCTCAGGTAAATTTCTATCAACAGAATGACGATTCCGTCCACTCGTTCAAGTATTATTTGCTCACTGGGAAAAATGGATGACATGCAGCATCTGGTGCTTCAGAAATAATGCAAAAGTGCGGGGGTCATTTTACTCCAGGAAAGCTGGTTACACACAGATATCGAGGATAGTGTGGTCGGATTGGACGGCTTTGATATTTTCAGGAGCTACCGCATCGTGAAATTTCGCAACAAAGGTGCTGGAATGGTCACTTTCGTGAATTGAAGTTGGTGTAAGAACCCTCGTTTGATTTTTTCCTACACAACAGACAAAATTAATTGTGCTTTTGTTCGCTGTAAGCCCCGCTTTCTCAGCAGCTTTCGGTTTATTTACTTTTTGAATATATATTGCCCCTGATACACTCGCTCCTGACGTAACACGATATTATGATACTATAATAACAATTCATTACTTGTATTGACCAGTCTTTGTGTATTACCGCTGGAGACTTTAATCGCTTTGATACCTCCTTTCTAACTACTCTAGGCTTAGTGAACCTTGTCAATTTTCCAACCAAAACCAATGCCATTCTTGATGGCATTTATGTAAATATTCCCATTATGTTTCATGCTCTTAAACGAGCCCCAATTATCACTTCTAACCATTGTGCCATTCTTCTTTACCCCAACATGTACTATAAAACTTACCACTGCCTTCGTACCTGACTCGCCTCTCGTACTCTACGGAAAAGAAATTGTTCTCCGGAAAACTTGTCCCGACTGCGGGACTTAGTTTCTTCTGCTGACTTTTCTGTGTTTTCCAATAATCAGTTGTCTTGCGAACATCTTACCGATTATCCTAATTTCTGCTATGACCAATGTTGCCCTGTCGAAATTATTTATATTCGAACCGATAGGTTTTCCTCATTCCTCCTAAAGAGCCCTGTCGTGCTAGAGAGACGGCTTACATGGCCACAGGCGTAACAGTATCAAAGAGCTCTCTGTGCTGATTAGAGGTGAAGTAAGACTCCTGAACGGAATGTACGTTGTGACTATGTTGGGTATTAAAAGCTGTCGTGAGATGTGGACTACTTTGCGGAAACTCTGTAGCTCACGCATCAGTTCTTGTCCCAACATTGAGGCACATAAAAGTCAATTTGATTCTGTACCTGCCTCGAGCTCCCCCCCCACTCCTTTTCCTACCCATGAGGCAATAAACCCTATTTCTCCGGATGAGGTTCTCCAAGTTTTGAGGAGACTTAAGGCCAATATAGCTCATGGTCCCGATGAATTAGCACCTCATTTGTTGACAGCTTGCCCCGACCGGCTTGCGATACCCATTGCTGAATGGTTCTGTACTTGTTTGTCATCCGGAACGATCCTCGATTGTTGGAGGTTATCCGGGATCAGAAGGGATCGTCAAAGTACTGTCCAATTGCCTGCACATCTTTGTTAATGAAGGCTTTTGAAAATGTTTTGCTGCGCCGCATGATAACCTACTGTAAACCCCATGACCCTTTACAATTTGCTTATAAACCCCATCTGTCCACACTTGTTGCCGTTGCTCATATTGTTCATTCTATTTTTTCCGTCTTAGACAATGCTGTCGGTAACACTCGTTTAACTTTTCTTGATTATACGAACGCTTTTGGCTCTCTCAATCGAAGAGTGCTTGTTGAACGTCTTTCTGAGTGTTCTCTAACTCCTGAAGTCTTGAATGTACTAATCGGCCACTTCTCCCGTAGGATCCAGTTTACTTCACTGAACAGGATACAGCCTTCTTCTATTAACATTGAAGTTGGTGTTTTTCATGGTGCTATTCTGTCCCCTTTCTTGTTTTCTATGTATATACAAATCTCCCTATTCCCAGCTTGTAAGTAAGTTCACTTTGTGATTGGTTGCTCATCCACTATTTCAGACAGTATCCGACCTCTTCAGGATAGTGTTACCGAACTGCACGACTGGTCTGTGACCCAGTCCCTTGTACTTAACATTAATAAGTGCATTGAAGTTCCATTTAGTCTTAAAACCGGCTCCCGTTATCTTTCATTAGTTAATAATCTCCCTGATCTTAGAGTTATCAATTAAAGCATTCCCAAATCTGTATATGGTAAATACCTTGGTGTCACCCTAACCCATAACCTGTCCTGGTCGGCTCATTTCGTCAACGTTTTCACAAAAGTTCGAAAACTGTCTTCCTATGCTTTCAGGCTCAGTAAACTGGTCATACCACAATTTTATTTTTAAATTTATGATTACCTTTCATTCTTCCACACTGGCTATACTGCTCCCCGATTTTTATCCCTGGACTGAAAGAAAAAGACTTCACTTTAATCTTAGCTTAAACTTTTTTCCCGCTACAGTGAAGTTGATAGAGTTCTTTCAGTCGATTTCTTTATTTCCAAGCATCTTGACACTCGTGATACATTCATAGACAGGAAAACACGTGATCAAGGGCGATGTCTGCAACAAAACATCGCGAAAGCCCTGTCAAATCCCTGAATTCGTTCCTAATATCAATTCCTTCCTGCGCGTACTTCCACAAATCGAAACAGTATAATTCCATACCTAGCTCGGTTACTGGTTAATCGCCAGAATATTCTCACCCACCGCAGGGATAAACTCTTGCACTAATTTTCCTCTCATTTATTAAAATGTAGAATGTCTTATGTTGTCTTGTTTGTTAACAATTGGTTTAATCTATGCACTGAAAAAAGTCGTTAGTTGCTGAAGATTCACCCTTTGGGTGCATAATGCTTTTCCTGACTTGACTGACTTGACTAGGCAATCAAGTTCAAAGGTCAGCTGACAGGCTAGTCATCAACTTTCTTCGTTTCGCGTGATTATTTTACAACTGGTTCATTGATCAACGGAACATCTGCCTTTGGAGTAAATTATATACCTGTGTATTCACTTATGTATTTTGATCAATATAATGAGCAACGCAACAGATAGAGTTGTACTGTTCCGGAATCATATGGTGTCGTTTAAATTCCCCAGGAAAAGTATTCTCCTAGCTGAAATGCCTTCCCCCACCCAGGATACTCAGCTTCCTCGACCAACTCACAAAAATAACACTTTTCAATGATTTCGGATCAAATAAAGATGTTAATTCCAAAAGCACATTACACCATGCGTCATGTTGTTGTTGTTATAGTCACTTAACCTTATGTAAACAGCTGGTCAATAATTCCTGTTATAAGCGAATTAATGCTAATCCAGGGTGTAGTATGTGCTTTTGTCCTTCAATACTGCAGTAATCTGACGTGGACTGTAGGCCACGTCCGTTGTTCGGAATTCAAACCAAGTTTTCATTTGAACTTTAATGACAAATCATAGAGGAATTATCTGGGTTTTCATTATTGAACTTTTCGGCTAGCTTTTTTTTTCAGATCAGTTGATAAGTATAACCATTTGTCGTATCGTAATAACTTCACAGTAGTCTTTGTTTAGGATTCATTTGACAAACACGTGTCATCACATTAAAGTGGATCAATAAAAGCTGTATTATGTACCAATAAATTGGAGACGGGAGGGGAGAGGGATGAGCGGTTACAAAGGTACCATAGTAACAATACGTCAAGTTTGTCAATATGCGGGAAAAATAAAGCACTGTTACACTATGATAAAACATGGACTGTTCCTGATGCTGTATTGCGTGATCTGAATATACTGATAACATGAAAACTGGACGTGGGAAGACTGGACAGGTTGAAGGAATGGTTAAGATTGCTCCAAATATAGTAACTGTCCGATCAAAATTCATCTGAAAGCCGAATAGATTTAAGTTTAACGGTATGTTTAGAAATGACAGGAAACGGGCATATGATTGCTAAACCGCAGTGCAGATAAATAAAAACACTCTTAGTGCAAGACATGAGAAATGAACTTCGGAGTAGGTCCATCTGCAGACGAAAATAGCATTGGACGTCTCATTGTAGACTATATAAATTTGAGAATATAAACGTTACATGACATCACACCGCAAGTGAGTTTCACAAGATTCTTATTGACACATGGAATCGAGCACAATTTTACAATTCAAACTTTTACACTTGATTTAATCTACAAACTCAGATGAAGTTATCAGGTTTTCACTCACAGCAGCGCTAAACTATTCTGATTAGACGGGATGAGCAACTCTATTTTTTTTCGTTGGATTGTTCCAAAGTTTCTAAATTACTAAACGTTCAGTAGCTGCTGTAAAAATAGGATTTCATAATTTGCATATCATAAACGGTTTCTCTCACCATCCGGAAGAGTGAAAGAAAGTGAAATTCCCGAGTCCAAACTGGTGAACCTAACCGTTCACTCTTAGGCATTGATTTTTTCAGTGAAGAAGCTTCTTATCCATAGTTCTCATTTCGTATTTACGCAAACCGATTGCGCCAAATCAAGTGATGAATTGACTAATTAGTTTTGCTCATTTCCGATGGTTCAGGGTGTGGGGTTCATGAAAGGGATACTAAATATTCGGTGGACAGGTTCATAAAAGTGCAACCTGTTGCTACCGAGAAACCGAGGTTACTTCACCCGGGTATGGAAGGTAGGAGATGGAACATCGAGGTGTGAGTTAATTAACCGAGTTGGGCAGGTGGAATTAACCTTCTCTTGAACTGATCTAAATGAACAACAGACCATCACACACGTTTCTTGAATCTTGATTTGCCATGCGTCAGAATTCGAAAAGAATTTTTCAGTTGAAATATTTTGTTCATGCATTATTGAGAGCATATAGTGAAAAAATTGATTTTAGAAACTACTACTCTGTTAAATGGGTCACCTCTGTTAATCCAGTTCGGTAAACAGCATGTGAAATCAAAGCTTCCGAATGGCTAGACGTGTACAGTTTCATCGCATGAGCAAAATGTTTCCTCTTGAACCACTAATAGGCGGCAGTATCATTGGTCTCAAAAACGGCTCTTTAGAGCAGTAGAGGACAATTTGTGGTGTTGAGAAAATTGAGGGTAAATTTTAATTGCTGCTAAATACAGTTATATATTCCTTTAGAGCCATTTTCACTGTCCACGTCCACCGGTAGTTCGTGTAAAGAACACAGGACCATCACCTGGCGCTGTTGTTCCGAAGCCCCACTGAACTCAAAGCCTCATTAGTGCCAATCACTCCATGCATACCGCTCAGGCATTTCAGGCGGTTTTCAGTCCCACTGATTCAAACAAGGTAAATGGTGTTTTGCACAGAAGTGACGAGGGACGATGAAGTAAGCACATCAATCTACGTGGATTAGTTGAATAACTTATTTTTGCAATTTCAATCCACATTCACCATATAATTCGACGTAACCGATCGTTGAGAAAACGAAACGACCGGCCACTAAATCCGCGGGATTGCCTACTCAGTCCAAGCCGCCTGAACGCCCCTCGTTTTAGAAACAACTTTGTCCTATTTACTCACCTAAAACATGTCCAGCATATAGTTTACCATACCCCATTTATCACCATCTTTTTCACGCGGGATAATCACTACTGTCCATTCTGTGAATTATCTATGTACGGTGTCCACCACTGATCTCGATAAATCTGCTCATGTTTGCCAGTTGCTGAGGCGGAAAATTCAGATAAAATCGCGCTCTGTTGGTATGAAATGCTTGCGTTATGGCTGATAAACAGCAATACCAAACTATTTCATCCTTGGTCGGATTCGTCCGTGATGGGTACTAATTTTCATGCCTCTTTCGAGACTCAAATCGCAAAATCCCAACATCTGTGAATTTGCATGAGCTGAAAACAATCACAAACACGATACAATTCCCATTCCGTTTGATAGAAAAACACCAGTAGCCATATCGAGATGATTACCGACCCGCGTGCAGTTTTACTGGTAACATGAAACCACTAACAGTTCACCGGTACAGATTGTTTCTATCTCAACTCGGCGATACACAGAAATTGGATCTACTACGAACAACTCCAGGGCCCCGGCAAAGAGTGTAAATACTGAACATACCGAACCGAAAGAAGCAACTTTTCATATGGATGGCGAATCAGATTGGGTTCAATTTAGTCTGAATCCTGAATAATGTTGAACATTTTGTCAAATTAGTGAGGACACTTGACTACCCGAAAGATTCAAAAGGGATGCAGGTGGGAACTGTGGCAATACTCACAGCATTTTGACTCCGGCTAATTTCAATGAATCAGGTTTGAGGACAACCACGCTTAAACCAAAACCGAAACAACGTTGAATACATGCCACGATGTTTAATTTCCGAAGACAACTGCATTACTTGAGTAATCTGTATGAAGCTTTTATACATTATTAATACCGATTTTCATTGTTTGTCCCCTGTCCAACTTACATGTCCCCCCAAGTTCTTCATGTTGCCCTGGAAAGAAGAATCATCACATTTCGACGGTCATAAAGAGGAAACCTGTGTGCAAACCCCCTTGTTTGCACTATCCTCATTTCCATTCATCTTCTTTGTCTCCCGTGACAAAATGGCTTAGCCCGGAAAACAGTGCAGTCCTGTTGCACTCAAATACTGCCACGGCCACGGCCACGGCCACGGCCACGGCCACGGCCACGACCACAAATTCACACTCGCAGAACTCCTGTGCCTGGTACGAAACTGAGGTCTACTTGAAAATGTTTCCCTCTGAACGTGGGCTCTTAGGTGGAGCAACCGGGACTTACCTCACACACCCGTTAGTATGCCATGATAATGGGCATCGTTATCCTTGGACGGTGGACTACAGCCGAAGCGGACAACCGATTTGCAGCCCCCGTGCTAGTCCATATCGCGCAACAACGCCAGTTCTTGTGCCCGGGCCGAGTCACACATGCGCGCATTCATTCTATCATAGTTATGAAGGAGATCCCAGTGTGGATAGTCTGGGCGCGATAACTTCAGATCGCGTGTGTGAACATTGCGAGGAGGCGAAACATTGGGCAATCTATCCACAACTGATGAAGAAATCCGGTTGCTCATGCTGTGTTTGTGTGCATCGCAACCGAAGTCCGTGGCCGACTCCGAAACCATCGGCAAGACATCGAACACAACTCAGTTTACCGCAGGAAGAATCAGATCCGGAGTCAGCTGACTCTCATTCACCGGAAGTCTATGAGAATTTGTACGCGACTTGATATGGATCGATCAATTGGATTAACCAAAGAAAAAAGAAAAAACGCTTCTATAATATACTGATTGATTGACCGATTCTTGCTCACGGGACCAGCCTTGATTTCCTTTCTAATAATGACCACTGTCATGATTCTTGAAAGCCGCCTCTCTTATCAACGCATGCCTTCCTACAGGAGCTATTGATTACTATCAATTGGTTTTCGTATAATGATCAGCAAATTTCCTCTTCTCCGTTCCTTAATCTAAAGAGTTAATGTTCCGGAAACTAAAAAATTTAGACTTCTCAACGGATTTGACCGTGCCACTCAAAAGATAAACACTGTGAGAGTAATTTCTTTCGCACAATTCCATCATAAAAGTAGTCAACTGAAATGAATTATAAATTCTGGTCAGGTTATATGGTGTGTGTGTGCCAGTGTGTGGTTGTCCATTAATAGTGGCAGCTACGGCAGGCCGACGAAAAAGGTCAAATACTTTTGGAAGTTTAAGTTTAGGGAAGTTTAATGTGAGCGCTTGATAATGCCTTGAGTAGCCTTAGTCGGTGTTTTTCTAGATGCCGTAACAGAGCCAAAAACGCGATCGCAGGATCCACCTTGCGATTGCTTTCAATCACGAGGATGTGCGATGGTCGAAGTTGGTTTACACAATGCACACAGAATATGTGGGATAGGCTGTCACTGATTCACGCACATGCCTGGGTATGTGTTCGGTCAATCCTAATTCATTTAATTTGTTCATCTTGTTTAATGTTTTGCCTAAGCGACCGATGTGAGCATACAGAAAGAGTTACTCTCGCAGAGCTCTTCTTCAAACATGCTTCTTCAAGTTCGTTTATCGTATGGACAAAAAAAGTACACGCTTTATTTCAGCCGACTCAGTTGTATCTGTCGTTGGAGTTTTTCCTTAAATTCAGCAGTTTACAGCGAAAAGAAATGAGTTCAAAATGTTTTCCTCTAGAAGGATTGTATCATTTTGTAAGAACAGGAGCCTATTCTCTGGTTGGTGTTATCCAAAACAAACACAATCCAGTTGGCTGAATCACTGGACTGGGATAGGAAAAGACAACGTGATAAAATTCTTGCCTGGTGATCATTCTCCAAAGTTTACGTTCACCGGAACTCCTCAGTTAATAGGGCAGATCTCGCCGAAGGGAAGCAACCGAGTGGAGTCCTGCTCCCATTAAGGGGTACTAGTGAAGCTTATCCACGGTGGCATATATATATAATCGTATGGCTTATATCTTATCTTGTGTGTAACTTTCTTTCCAATACAATTATTTTTTTCTGTTCACTCATAATAAAGGAATAAAATAGTAACATTTGTTTTTCTTTAAACTGAGCTAGGCATCTGAAGATATTTGCATTTCCCCTTATTTTTTTCAACCCCTTCGCAGACACTGGCTTCTTCCTGAACCCCGTTGTTCCCAATTAACCGATCCGGGTCGAAGAAAACGATCTGTGCGTTTTTCACACTTGAATCGGTTTGCTTTTCACCTTTTCGCAATGAGACGGTTGAATTCTTCTCATGTTTCTCGGACACTGACTTGATGCGTTCATCCGGACTACAGACGTGTTTTGTCACCTTTTGTTAAATTCGGCTTACAATAACTGAAAATTGTGAATCGTTTTTCACGAGCAGCGAACAGTCAACACCACGATTTGTGTTGACTCATCCTACCACAGACACAGACGAGTTGTGGTTATACGTTGCCATTTGACACAGTTTCCTCGGTTAAAATTGCAAATGAGCCGCACCTGAAAATATTACTGAGTTGTTACCGGCTAAATGATTCACCTGGTATGTATAAAGAGAGAGATTGTGGCTTGACGTTCGTCTAGTTGTTTCAATGCACGATTCATCCACCGGCTTCTTCAGCTAAATCTGAGCGTTGTTGAAGTTACTTCACTCATCGATTTCCTATTGATAATCAATACTGATAATGATTTTCGAGCTATAGGAATCCGATAAGACTGTTTGGGAATTTGCACATTGTTTTGTCCGACAGTGTTTGTTAATGTTAGCCAGCTCCCCAGTTCATGGCAGTGAGTGTTCCATCGTCCCCCGGAGCTGTGCGAATGAATCAGTTTGCAAACGAAGAATTCAGCTGTACGGTGAGTGCTTTCGAGGCTTTTCCGCGGCAAGTAACGCGTTCACTGCGCTTAACGAATACATTTCCTACTTGGGTTGTGTTTGATATGCGACAGTGTACGGCTTTGCACGTGAGACGATCATTGCAAATATGTGCAAAAAGGGAAGTCAATAATAACCGATTTCAAGATATTAACTATAACAGCAGCTTGTATGCGATGATTGACAGAGATCAATGGGAAACTGTTTCATCCTTGGACTGAATCGCCAGCATTCCGTGTTAATTTCGTGCCCTTCTCGGGACTCAAATCACAAACCCTCGAATAAGGAACCAACACATTTACTCCTGCGGTACATGGTCTACGGCGATGCATTGAGATGACTACATGATAGATTACACTAATTCCAATACAGAAATAAAACATTCCTACATCGAACTGACTCGAAAAAATGACTGATTGAAGACACTGCAAACGCGGAGCTGGAATTCGATTGCGCATAGAACATGAATCACTGGAAACTTTTTCTATCAGCACCATGAGTTTCATTCATCATTGGAGAAAAATGTGGGAGAAAAAGTCAATTGTTTTGAAGGAGTGATCAGAATTGACGGCACGATTGTTTATCCTGTCCCTCGGTTCAGACAGGACACTAAAACTTGTTCTAAGGTGACATTTTCCAACACCGTCATGATTTACCATACCCCGGATCTATTCACTTTTCACTCACACTCACACATAAACACAAATCGACCCAAGTAAAATCCGATATAAAAAGCATAAATTTCGCATTATCTGTGTGACTATTTCCTTCCCTGTTGATTTCGGCCCCAACAACTGTGGATCCGGATGAAGATAGATGAACGGGTGGGGGGAGGGGTTTCACGTGTGACATGCACCAATGCATAAATGTCGCGGAATAAAAAGTTTTGTCTGCGGCAGGGTCAGTGGATGAATAAATGAATGTCTGAAGCAACACATATAATTCTCTACAAAGCGTGTTAGCCGAAACTGTGATTTTTTAACCACTAGTATCACAGGTTAAGTTGGGAATTTTGATTGTCAATTCTTCAATCAGGCCGCAATCGATCGCATTTGATCGTAAAACAATAGTTTGGTCTGCGTACCTACATCGGGGCGTAATATTTGAATTGAAACTAAGAATAGCGTTTTGTTAACAATAATGCTGTCAATGGATGCAATCATGTCGTTCGAGAAGTTGTTCGATGTGGTTAGACAGAATAAACTGTATCAGTCAAACATGCATGCGTAAGTAGAGATTCCCTATCAATCCACGTCATAATTATGTTGGATCAATTTATTTTTTTAGAAATTCTTCCAAATGTATTTCAAAATCTTTCTGCTAGGCTGTTTGAGGTGCTTGAAAATGCACTGAGTGACGACGTTAACTGCAAAGCTCAGTGATGGAAGCATCACACAGGTTCAATGCGCGCCCTTCTTAAAGTTGTGATGACAAGGGGCCAACCGAAAACGACTAGCGAGATGTGACCATACAGAATCAAACCCCTATCCCAGAAACGGTGATAGCTCAGAATTAGATTTTCTCTTTCGAATGAAACTAGGAAGGGAATTCGTCGAACCAGTTGACAATATTCTACAGTTTTGTGTGGAATTCAACCTCATCCGGCATTACTCATCATTTTGTGTTTTGTAGTATTGCTGACTTCCGTCGAGTAGAATCGTTTCGATCAGTGATCTGAATCACATTTATGCACACGAAACCGTAGTTGGATGATGAATCCATCGTGTAAATGAGGTGTGAGCTTGAAAAATGGGAAGTAGTGGATAGCTATTTCGACTCGGTTGGGTACCGTCAGCGGTGCAAACCCATTGACACCACTGGGGATCGAACCCTCGACCTCACAAGAAGAACGCAAACGTGCTACCCACTCGGACACTGGACAGCTGGTCAGATCGTTTCTCATTTCAAATATATATGATATCGCAAAAACCATCTTTGCGAGCTTGTTTCGGAATCGGTTGGAAACTTTCACAATCTCATTGCTTGTTATATGAGAGATAGAAACCGCATTTAACAAACACAGTGTTCGCACTAATGGTCAATTCGCGAGATTATTTGATGTTATATTAAAAATATGTTTCTAAATGGATTTAACTAGCAGAATCGACGTGTTTTTCTTCACTGTATAGCGGTTTCAACCCTGTTGAAACTTATCGCTAAAGCATATCCCACGATTCAACTGAGATTCGCATCCATGGTCGTTATTACGACGCACTAACCACCAGGACTGACTCCCAGCAACTGGTCACAAACCAACAGTACCTGGTTTAGAACTCACAATCTGACGAGGTCCAGTACTTCGACGACAGTGACGACGAATCACTATATGGGGTAGTGTTGATATATATGGGGCTGCTGAGGTTGTGCCCCTACAGTCCAAGTGGTGAGCGTGCCCGACTGACAACCTCTTGCCCCCGGATTAAAAACCCCAGAGGATTCCATAGATATGCAGCGTGGTTGATTAGCAACACAGGTGAAGCAGCGGTGTGATTATTCCATAGGTTTTTCACATCAAACGTTGATTCGGTTTGATAGGTTAAGATTCCTAATACCACACAAAATACACCAGACAATTTAACGAAAGGAATATATTTTTCGCGGATGCCTATTTAGCATTTTAGTTACCATTAGTTTTTTCTTATAGAATGCTTTGGGTTATGCGGAAAAATAACGTGAAATCCAGAATTATTTATTACTAACCAACATGACTTATCATAGATTCTAAATCGTGTCGCAGCACTTCTGAACTGGAGTACATCTGCACTTCATTGTTTGCAGCCACTCTCAATATAAGTGCATTGGGATTGAAATAAAACAAACATCACGTGTCAAGTACAATTTAATTTTCGTTGGAATGGTGCCACACAGTGGA